GAATCACAATTGTGCTCTCACCCTGGGCTGTGAGAGACATAGCCAGACCCTGGCACATTATTAAGAAAAGATAGAGGGCTGCATTATAGGTCACAGTCCTGGTTTCCATCTCTAGTACTAAAACAGTTATCTACACTGCATCTGTATAAGACAGTTTAAGTGGTAAATGGATCGTGCACCCTTCGTTCAGTCAAGGGCCCCGATGTGGCAGCACGTCCTGAATCAGCAGGGAGCGCTCGCAGTGTAACCACAGCTGTCCTCACTGAGGGAGGTGGAGGTGGACGGAGCTCAGAAGGAGAAGGGGATGTGGATGAGCGAAGATACCCAGCTGCAGATCTCAAGGTGGAGGGAGAACCATGAGCAAAGGAAGGAAAGAAAGCTGTTCCTGAAGCTGGGGTGGAAGCAAACGCCTTGAGGATGATACATGGCAGTTGGTTTTCAGTCTAGAGAAAGGGAGTTTGGGTTTTGTCTGGTTCAAACTTAACCCTTCATTTTAGGTTATAAGATTTTAGCAGCTATATTGATTTATCCAGATTTCATAATCCATAAATGATTATTACTCTAGTAAGACAGGAAATATGAATATGGCTGTGGATTTCTCTGTGTTACAGAGTGTATGGCTGGATGTCCAGGTGCCTGCCAAAGATTTATAGATTTGTTTCTATGCATGTTTGAAATAAATGAGTATTAAATGTCCTGGCACTGAGGGCACAGGAGCAAGGTGGAAAATTATTGGACCCTGGTGGAAAATGGATTCTTCTTAGAGCATTTAAGGAAGTGCAATGAAATTTGTTCTATACTCTTATTGATTATAGATTTTTAAATGATAAACTTGGATAATTAGATGAAGATATTCCCACAACTCAGTTCTTCACCTGCATCCTCCATTGTTTGTTTGTTTTTGAGTGATTGATCCCAGTGCTATTTCACAACTATTATGGGTCCCAAAAAAGTGGATGATTTCCACGTTTTACAAGTTTTCATAGTTTTCGAAATGCCTATAATGATTTTTTTTCATTTCTTACAAGCTTGGAGAAGGAACCACAATTAAGTTATTAATAGAGTCAAGGATGTGATCCAACCAAATTAAAAACACATTTTGATATCCATGGCTAATCCAGAAAAGGCACAGGAAAAGAACACCACTGCATGCACAGGAGAAATTAGGAGAGATTTCAAGGGTCTCCCAGGAAGCAGGACTTCAGAAGGGTAACAGTTAAGTAAGAACACCACTGCATGCACAGGAGAAATTAGGAGAGATTTCAAGGGTCTCCCAGGAAGCAGGAATTCAGAAGGGTAACAGTTAAGGGCTGGGCAGATCCCAGCTGACTGTGTGTTCTGGGAGGTGACCTCACCCTAGCTGGATGCTGCAGGTTCACCTGTGACAGCGCACCAGGGATGAGGGCCATCTTATTCCTTAATTACTGGACAGGTCAGGGACTATGTTGGTTCCAGATGAGGAGCAGAGAAAGGTGAATAGACAGAGGATGCCTTGGATGTCAAGATGCACTGGATGTGAGGAACATGGCCACTTCTTAGAGGCAGTGATTTCAGTGTGAGAACATCACCTTCACTCTCTCTTCATGGACCATGCATATGAGGATGCAGGAATGTGATTCTCCTGCCTCAGCCTCCTGAGGGCTGGCATTAGGAGCCGTGTATCACATGCAGCTAAATTCATTTTTAAATCCTGATGACTTGACATTTCAAAGGACACTCGATTCTGCGGATTTACAGTTTAGTGTTTAATGATGAAAGGTGTGGTTGGCTTTAAAAGATTGAAATCAGAGACACAGTGAAATAAATGAATATGTAAAAATACCACATATATGAATGAAATTGAACAGAAACATATACTTTACTTTCTTTGGAAGTAGATTCTTAGTAAGCCAATGCTAGTACATGTGTGTACTCCATGTTCTCGGTAGGTCATGTGATATTGAGAGGAAACCCCAGAGTCCAGGATGTCCTTACTCTGCAGCTTCCATCTCTGCAATTGCTCCTTGAACCACTGTTGGAGTTCAGCGGATCCTCTGCGCCCCCTGCTGGTCATGAGCTCCCCCACCTGGAGGTTTGTTTGGGCTCACTCTGTTGTCCTCTATCTGTATGTTGCAGGCAATCATTCAGGGAGCTGGATATATTCACAGATAAATAAACGTTTTGGGGTTATGGTAACCACACTCAGCTTCTAGGGATTAGCAGAACAGTACATGTTTATCATTGGGCATTTGTTTATGTGCATATAGATACATTCACACAACACGATAGACACTACAGGTCAATACACATGCAACACCTTGATCTAAGGATTCTAACTCCAATCCATTTCCTTTTGCCTAAAGTCAATGATATTCCAAAATATTGTGGGAGCAGTTAAATGCTCCAGTCCCACTCAGTTCAGAGTCAACTCACCCTGACACAAGGTTTGTCATCAGTTAGAACGCCTTGGGGGACTCATGTGATTTAGGTTTGCAGGGGTCCAGGAGAAATGCATTCTCCGCTATGCATTTCCAGTTCTCCATGGAGGGGAAATATGCTCACCGTAACAACATGTGGTTTGGCTTTACCAGGTACAGATACTGCTGCTCACGTCACGTCACTTTGTAGCATTATTGAAACAGAAACCAGCAGCACAGTCCTGATTTTCCAAAGAAACCTGAGTTTTGCATGAACACGCTAGGCCTGTAGCTGCCCACTGTGCTGGACAGCACTAAGGAGCATCCCCTCCTGTGAGCAGGAGGCAGACAGCTGGTAAAAGCTCAGCTCAGTTATGTGGTGGCCAGTTTGTGATCTGCCAGATGTCACTCATGTATCTCAGAAGTGTCCATTTCTTCCTCTCTACTGGTGGACATTAGGTTCAGTGAAATATTTACTATCTCATTGGCCCACAAACCGACCTGATTCCCAGGAATCAGCCCACTAACGCAATGGTTTGCAGCAAGAGGAAACTTAGCTATGGAAGGAGTGATTGTCCCTGTCTTAGAAAGTGACCCTGGGAACATCCGCCTTACAGCTTCCGTGCTGAGGTCTGGGACTGCCTGAGACCTCGGGAGTAAGTGGTGGGGAAGATCAGAGGCCAGATCTGTCCCTCCTCCCTGTGAGAGCCTAACAGTGTGGACACCAATATCTGCCTTCTGGTCTGGAAAGTCAAGAGGTAGGGATAGCAAGAGCAGTATTAAAGAATTTCTTTGAATAGCCTGTAAGAATTGTAAATATGAAGAGAGTTTAATGTGATTTTGCATCACATGCGTGCAGTGTGCCCTGCTCAAATTGGGCAGTTAGCATTTCATGTTTTCTCATTTCCCTGCATGTGGAGGCATCAAGTTCCTACCATTTGCATAGCTATAGAACATAATAGGAATCTCTATGTGTGACCTTTACAGCAGAGGACCCCCAATCTGCACAGTTTGACTCACTCATTCAGTGAATTAAAATATTATTTATAAAATAAATATTAAAATCATGGATGGATGAAAAGACCAGTAGAGAGTTATATAGATACACAGGTAAATATAAGTGCTGTTTGCATGGAGGATCCTGACTCCCACACTGTCATTTATTTATTTATCCAATTGTCATTTGCATCTCGGTGCATTCATGTCTATTTACTTCACACTTGGGCATGGGATCCACCACCTGTTCATTTATTTCACTGCTCCAGTTATTCCAGCTCTGTCCTCTGAGAGCCCTTTCCTGTTTTCCCTCTGATGTTCCCAGAGTCTAACCTCGGAGGCCTGTGCTCCTCCCCTATCCTCACTGTTCAGCCCTGTGGCTCCCCTGCATTCACGCTGCTGAGCACTGTCACACAGCCACACTCTGGATTTTGAGAACCTCCTGACTTCCTGGTGCTTCCGAATGCTCCTGAGCCAGTTCTGGACCAGATACAAGCCGCTTCTCCTCAGTGACCCATTTTGTTTTTCCGAAGAAACAAATTAGTAAATGAAAACATAGTTCTGGAAAGAAATTAGATTGAAATGAATCTTCAGACCATGATTTGAAACAAGGCTTTAATGGCTGTGAACGGTGGACCTAGACCTTGTCTGCACCTCAGCACAGTGTGTCCTGTGTACCCGCTGCTGTTCACACGTGCCCCTGCTGGAGCCTTTGCTGCGGGTTTCCACTGATGCCCCTTCACTCTGACTCTCTCACTTCCTAATACGAGGCAGAGTCCTCTGATCTTAGAATAGGTAAGTGCAGATAGGCAAGGCTTTGCAATCATCTTGGAAATTGTGAGTCTTGCTTTCACAGATGGGGCATATTCTGCCACGTATCTGTTACCTTTGTTTCTTTTTCTGACCAGACCAACTCACTCCAGACCCTTCCCTGGAGTCCGGCAGACCCAGTCCACCTGGTATCCAGAGGCTGCACTTGAGAGTCTCACTGATTCCTGAGGCCACACTAAGCTGCCCCTGAACTCCCGCAGCTACAGCTCACACTGAACGCCTGCAAACACGGAGACATCCAGCTCGGGACACTGTCGCATATTTCACTCCTCATCCTACTGTTGACCACTCATATACTCGGTATCTCTTGTCCTTCATGGATGAGCTTCAAAGCCAGCAACCACTTAACAGAGGAGAAGTTAGGCTCATGATTCAGAGGATTAAATCCATGCTCAGGTGAATCCAAAGCACAAACATCAAGGAGGAAGCTGGCTGAGGAGGAGTTTCCCAGCTCTGCAGGAGACGCGGAGCACAGGGGAAGACAAGAAGCAGGAGACAGACCTTAGAGGCAAAGCCCCAGTGAGCCACCTCCTCCAGCTGGGCCCCACCTCCCACATGACATTCATCTGTTCACAGCAGTGATCCAGTCGTGATCCAATCACCTCTCTTCGGTTCCTCTGCACATTCAAGTAGACGATTAAAATGAACTGGAGCAACAGACAAGCAGAAGTCAGCCTGCCAAACATCCATCCTGTGAATTCATAACTCAAGTTAAAGAAAAACAGAGTCAGGTTATCCTAGCCTGGCCAAGCTCATTCCCAGAGGTTTCTGCCCCTCTCAGGATGTGATTTTCACACTGTGTCTCGCACAGTAATACACGGCTGTGTCTTCAGCCTGCAGGCTGCTGATCTGCAGATATGCTGTGCTGACAGAGGCATCCAGGGAGAAGGTGAATCGTCCTGTGAAGCCCTCAGCATATGTGGGCTTTGCGGTTTGGGTGTTGATCCAGCCCATCCATAGCAGGCCTTTCCCTGGCGCCTGTTTCACCCAGTTTATACCATAGTCAGTGAAGGTGTAGCCGGAGCCTTGGCAGGACACCTTCACTGACTCTCCAGGCCTCTTCAGCTCAGCGCCAGACTGCAGCAGCTGGATTTGTGAGTGGACACCTGTGGAGAGGACACAGGAGTGTTGTGCACAGTGCAGCTGGCTCATTTTCCTCTGCAGCCCTGGGTGCTGGTTCCTTACCTGGGGCAGCCACCAGCAGGAAAAGGAGCCTGCACGTCCACTCCAGGCTGAGTGGGGTTAGAACTCAGGGCTTCTGGGAGACCGACGGGGTGAGGCCCTTGCTGCCTGAGTCAGGGGAGCCTCAGCTTTCTACTCAGTGACCTCCAGAGTTTTGCATAACCCTTGGGCTCCTCCTCTCCCACTGGACTAGATCAGGGTGAACATCCCGAGGTCCTAGGAGACCCTGCTCAGTTGGCTCAGCCTGAGTCCTGCAGTATCTGTGCCTGAGTCCTGCCTGGGAGTGGCAGCTGCAGTGTCCTGGGTCTAACACCGGGCAGTGACCGAACACTGATGTCCTCAGTGGTGCCCACCTCTTGAGGTTTTCTCTGCTGCTTCCATCACATGGTACCTGAAACAGGGCACAGTTCCTTCTCCAGACCTAATGTTGACCACTGACCGGGCTTCTGTGTGTGTGACCAGGTGACCTGACCCTGTCCTGAGTACCATGGACTGCGTCCCGCTCACTACCAGGTTACCTTTGGGTTAGACCCCCGGGCCAGTGTCCAGAAGTGGGCTTCATTTCCTGTCTTCTGAGGGTGTCTTACACAGGTCTGCAGGTCCTTTTTTTTTTGTTGTTTTCCACTCAATTCGGTAGAATGAATATATATTTTAACAATTCATAGTGACCAAGTTGTTTTATTTGGTTCCCTCACATCAATTTGCATGATAAAATCTATTAATTAGATGTTGAATTAATAGTAAAAAATAAGGCCTGGCGATTTATTTAGCTCATTGTTTCGGTGGCCTGCCTTGCAAGTGCAAGGACCCGAGTTCGATCCCAGGTACAACAAAAAAAAAGTAAAAAATTATATGTATATATATATTATGAGCTGTGTATTTGCACTTTATACTATGGTATCACAATATCCCTATAATAAGCTCCGGAAAGTGTAACTCCCAGTACAACATGAAATCTCCATTCCTATTTGTACTATGATATCACAATATCCCTACAGAATTGCTACAAAACATGGCACTGATAGATTGACGATTCTGTGTAGAACCCAACAAAAGCGATAATTTGGAAGCCCTGTGTAAGAAACCTCACCTTTACCTCATGAAATAAAAATGCTGTTATTTACAGTACAAACTTGATGAGACTGCCCAATACTATAAGGTGCTGTCTCACTGACTTCCATGTAAGACTTTTTCCCCAGTGTCTGGGAGCCACCATGTTAACTGTGGAATCTCTTTCTGCTCCCCAGTTTCTATCACATCCACTCCTCCAAGCCATGAAGAGCATTTGCAGCCTCATGGCTCACTGCAGTGGGATCATCACTGACCTCCTGCCCCAGGCCTATCCCCATGAAATAGGCGTTTCCAATAAGCCTCACTGGCTCCTTGTTGAAGCTGATGTGCAGCGCCCCTGGTGCAATGCTCTTGTGTGGCAGGTAGCCCTGTGATTCTCATCACTTAGATTCTACACCAACAGAGCAGGAGAGTTCATAGCAATGCCGAGACAGACAGGGACAGGCATCCCTGAGAGCGTTCGGAAATAAATCTCCAGAATTCCAGTTTCAGTGTCAACTTAGGAAGGTTCTCCTTAGTGAGAAAGTGTCGCAACTCTGAGAAAAAGCATGGATCCAAAAAGAGAACCGAATTTATAGCACAAAGCTGCAACCTGGCCCAAGGGAACAAATGCATCCAGGGACACATCTGAGATGACCGGACATTGAGTCTCTGGATAAAGCTTGGGGTTAGGGGTCCCCAAGCCAATGCCATCATATTACATGAGGGAAATTGAATGATTCACCTCTAAAATGAGAAATAAACAAGGATATCCACTCTCACTCTTGGTCAATGTAGTACTTTTTATGGCTTGTATCTCAGTGTCCCACCAAAGCCTCCTGTTTTCAGTGGTGGGAATTTTCAGAGGTGGCTGGGTCCATGCAATGTAGTACCGGGATGAAGGCCATGTGGTCTGAATTAAACCGCTAACTGGGTGAGCACAGTTCTGAGTGTGCCTTAGAAATTTACTGAAATGGGAAACCCCACCTCAGTTGGGTGGCACCAATCAATGGCTTGTAGTTTGGATGGAATATAAAAGGACCAAAGGAAGGCAGGTTGCACAAATGGAGTAAAAATGATCAAGGTGCAGAATGTGTGTGTATGAAATCCCCAATCTATATACAGTCGCTATGATTGTAAAGATGCAATAAATAGTAAATAAATAATAAAAAGCACAAGGTGTAGAGTTAGTGAGGGGTTGTAGGAAGGAAGGAATGGGGAGTTAGTGGTCACTGTGCTCAGTATTTCCTTATGAGGAAAAAAGTACTTTGGAACTCGATGGAAGTGGTGGATAATGTACTGAATGTGACCTAATTACATTTTACAATTGCCAATTTCATGTTTAGTGAATTTTACATTCATTGAAAAAGTAAGAGATACAAAAGGGAACTAGCATGAATGCAAAAGTCTCTTGTGAAAAAGAGAAACATAAATCAATGGGAACCCAAATCCAATTATTCCAACCTAATACATTCTTTAAAGAGTCATGCTTCTTGAGGATTCATGTGATTGATGATCGTGTGTGTTCTCCTTTACATGCGATGTAAGACCAAATATTAACTTTTGTTTTGGGTTAAGAAAAACTACCATACTTTCTAAAATGGTATAAAAGGGCTTTCAAATGAGATCTTGAGTCACAGCCACAGTCAATTTGCAGATTTAAAAGCAATACTCAGTGAAACAATTATATTTTAAATTTAGGGACACAACATATTGCCATGGTGACAGTCAATGGGCCAACTAATGTACCTTGTGGAGAAGGCACAGCCTGCCTATAGGGGGGCTTGCTATTGTAGACTGTGTGTGTCTAACACCTCTGCCCAAGACATAAGAGGGAGATGCCCGGAGCATACTTGGAAGGGACGTGACCCACATCTCCCAGCGGGGAGTGAGGGCCACCATCTGAGCAGAAGACCTTCACTGGAAAATGGGATCCCTGAGCAGGCATCTGAGTGTCTCCCTCTAAGGTAGAATCTGCCTTTCTCCACTTCAGCACCAATGCAGCCTCGGTCACAAAGTCTTGTGCATCTGAGACCACAAAGCCCCAGGCTGCAGAGTGGGAGTCTGGTTCTGGGTGAGAGCCGCTGCTTCCACGGTAGGCTCTCCTCCCACCTCCTGCACACAGGGGCAGATGTGACGATGACATCGTGGTGTGGATGTACACAGTCAGCTGGAGGTGTTTCCCACCCATCTGTTTGTGTGTTTGTTGTGAAGACTCAGGTATCAGTACTATGTGACAAGTCGATTCAGTGTGGAGCAAAAGTTGAACAACCTGGTTTCCTCAGCAACTCTGACATCGGTGGGGAGTAGAATGAAAGTTTTTCTACTCGTTAAGTTTCCCGAAGGAGGAAACAAGGTGTCACAGTGGAGAATAACGGAGGCTTCTCTCACTGACTCAGAGGTCAAGAAGGCCTCTCTGATGAGCTGAGACCACAGGGAGAGAAAGGAGCAGCCACCTCAGGAAGCTCAGGAAGGAAGAGGAGAGCAGCTGGAGAAATTCACTCTGTAGGCAAAGCTGTTCTGTTTAGGGGCACTGAGAGAGAACAAGGAGCAGAGGCTTCCTGCCTGCATTTCTCATTTTCTACTTGTGTGTGTGTCTGTCTGTTATAATTAGAATTTGACTGTGAATAAATTGATGAATTCCCACTGTATTTATTTTAGTATTCAAGGAACAGAAAGCAAACCACTCATGAACCGTAAAAGGTTCCACCAGATTTACACCACTCCTAATTGTTTCCTTTCTCATCTTCTCCAGAGGGGACGCTACATCACCTCTAGATCACTGTCTCTCTCATCTTCTATACCATTCTTTACATATATTGTAACATATTTATAATTTTAACGAACGTCATAATACAGATTTTAGGAGCATCATGTTTGGCCAATATTTTGCCTTTAGACCAATAGTAATTCAGGGCCACCAAGAAATTTTTCCTTTTAATGTATCTCTGATGTGGAACAAAGGAGAGAGCTCCTAATATATGTGTAGATGTGAGAATGAAAGAGATGTCAAGGAGGATTTCTAGAGCTTTACTGACGGCCTGGACTGCCTTCCCTGCACTGGTCAGAAAGAGACCAGGTCAGGCAAGAAGGCTGGTGGCAGAGGTAAATTTCCATAAGTGTTAAAGTGGGGCACTGATTAGAACTCCAAGTGCAGATAGAGAGTGACGGGGTGTATGGATGATTCCAGAGTAGATCAGGCAGATAGGTGAGGGGAAATTTGTTTTATCAGCTCAGTAAAAAAAAAGGCTCCATAGGAAGAAGATTAGCAAAATGTGAGGAGTGATTCCTGTAAATACCTGTGATGGACTAGAAAGAGTGTAGGGTGACAGAGCAGAAAATAGCTTGACTAGGGAGTATCACACCAGAATGAAAAGACATCCCTAGCCACACTCAGTAATTGTCCTTGAAGCTGGATTCTGGCTTTGTGGTCATAGGTGCCCCCTGCTGGTCACCAGCACACCTGCAGGGAGGTTTATGTCTGGGCTCACCCTGATGGCCTCTCACTGTGTCTTGCACAGTAATACACGGCGGTGTCCTCGGGGGTCACGGAGTTCAGCTGCAGGGAGAACTGGTTCTTGGCTGTGTCAGCAGTGATGGAGATGCGGCCCTCAAAGGCTGGGTTGTAGTATGTGCTCCCTACCCAGTACCCCATCCACTGTAGAGCTTTCCCAGGAGGCTGACGGATCCAACTCCAAGCATAACTACTAGTGACAGAGTCCCCGGTGACAGTGCAGGTGAGGGACAGGGTCTGTCCAGGCTTCACCAGGCCAGGTCCTGACTCCTGCAGTGTCGGATCAGACAGGACACCTGAGGACAAGGGGAGTCATGGTGAGTTTTTCCCATCCCACTCCCAGGCCCCTGTAAACAACTAAAGACCCCAGGACCCTCACCCAGAGGAGCTGCCATTAGACACAGAAAGGTCCAGAGTGTCTTCATGGTGCCTGCAGGATGGAGACCTCCACAATAGCCTGTCTGGTGACAGGAATTTGTTCTGCTAGCTCCTAGCCTCATTTGCATGTGTGTCTGGAGGGGCTGCATATAGGAGGCTGAGCTTGGGTGACTGTCACTATTTCTGAGACCTGGTACTCAGTAAGGGAGCTGCCTAGCCTGGCTCTGGTCATCTGGGATTTATCCCTGGATAAGCTGTACTCTGTTCTGTGATGTTGCATGGGTCAGTGGGGCAGTTGATGACCATGTAAAGAACATGCTGAGGGTTTTGCTTTTGTCTTCTATGAGGCTATCAGGCTGTGGTTAAATTGCATTTTTTAAATTTTTGTATTGGGAATGAACTCAGGACCTTGATAATTACTGTTTCCAATTATTTCTCCATATTACTGTGATCATCACACAGCTGTTCATGAGCATATCAGAAGTTAGTCTTCATGCTCTTGTGGATTTGATGTCAGTAGTTCTGTAGTTACACATTTTCTATTGCTGCCATTTTCCTCCTTTGAATGTCATCATAAATTCTTCTCCAACATAAGGGATCTTCCTAGAGAGTGCTGTGCTTCCTAGAATACATAAGACAACATGGACTGAAATGCTGCATATATTCAGCCAGCAAATGAGCTTAAAACTTGCCAGACATAGACACAATTGATGTGAACAGTTGAAGTGAAAGCGAAATCTTTGTCAAAGAAGACATTTCTGAAGTGTGTTTTACACACACAGGATAGGAACACTCATCTGAATGTGGGATCAGAACTGAGGTTTTCATCTCAGAGGGGATCTTTGTACAGCATAAATTTAGTTCTTAATGCACAAGTCAAACTGTAGTTATTGTGCATAGCACAATGTTCTGAAGTACCTCTGCAGAGTGCAGTGGTCCAGTTGAGCCAGGTAATACCTGCATCAACACTTGCATGCTTAACATTTTATAGAGATGCTAAGTTTGGTCGTACATGAAACCAAGGGGAATAGAGTAGTCGCAAAGCACAGGCCTGGATATGGTAAGAAACCAAACACGCTGCCCCCAATCTGGTAATTGTTTACTGCACACTGAGCACCATCAATGCAATGCAAGACATTATTAGTGAAGGAAGAAAAAGAAAAAAAAGACTTTCTGAAGTTTAAAAAGTCAAAGTATTCAATATAATTGTAGGCAATGATATATGCAAAACACTCAATGAAGAAATCACACCACGCTTGAAATCCAGAATAAATAATTAACATTAGATACATTGTCAAAGACCTCTGGGAATGAAACACACCATATTTAATTCTATGTATTAACTTCTATGTGTTTAAAAGAAACAGAAAAAAAATACCATCAAGAAATTCAAAAACAAACAATAGGAATTTTATATGCATAGATTTTGCTAGAGCTGATTGATGCTAAGCAATGTACTTCTCATGCCAGGTGTTGCCTGTGCCTGGAGCACAGGGAAGCTGAGAAGGAGAAAAAGCTTGGGCCACTTGAGTCAGTGTTCCATGTGTCCACAGGAACCTCCCCATATCCTGTCACTTGTGATCTGATCGTGACAACAGGGATATTGCAGAGGTGGTTACCTCCAATATCGTGAAGGGATATTATTATTATCCTGTGCCATCCAAGTAGACTCAGTATAGTCAAAAGTGGCCCTATAGGTAGAAAGAAAGAGGGTCAGGGCCAGGGCAAAGGTGAGGTGTTTATGGGAGCTGAGATTACAATGATGTGCTTTGATAGAGGAAGAGGGGAACCTGCTAAGGAAGACAGGCAGCTCCTAGAATCTGAAAAAGGCCTAAACATGGGATCTGTATGCAGCTTTCAGGAGCAACCAGCTCAGCCAACATCTTGCCTTTAGAGCAATAGCACTTCAGGGCCACCGAGAAGCTGTACCCTGTGACTGTGTCTCTCACTTGGAACACAACACTGGAGTTCCTAATATATGCATGGATGGGAGAATGAAGTGGATCTGAGGGAAGTTTCCAAGGGCGTCACTGAGAGGCTGGGCTGCCTTGACTGTCACAGTTCAGGAAGAGGCCAGGGAGAAGAAGAAAGCGGATGGCAGAGGTAAATTTCCACCTGTGCAAATGCGGGGCACTGGTTATATCTCCAAGTGATGATGGAGAGTAAAGAGTTGTACGGATGAGTTCAGAGCAGTAAGGCAGATTGGTGTAGGAAAATCTGTTTATTCAGCCCAGGGAAAAGAGTTCTGTAGGAAGTAAAAGGAGCAAAGAGTAAGGAGTGAACCTCTTCACACCTAAGTCACAAATTTGAGGGAATGTAAATGACAGCCAGGAATGATTGGATGGATAGCGAGTGTCACACCAGTCTCTGAAAGGAGATCTATAGTCAACTAGAGTTGAGCTCTGAGCTCGGTGGTCATGATGCCACCTGCTAGTCATGAATACAACTGCAAGGAGGTTTGTGTGGGCTCACACTGATGTCCACACACTATGTCTTGCACAGTAATACATGGCTGTGTCCTCCCTGGTCACAGAGTTCAGCTTCAGGAGAACTGGTTCTCTCAGTGGTGTTAGAAGTGATGGAGATGTAGCCTTCAACAGCTAGGGCAGGTTGTACCTCATGTACCCTGGCCAGAAACTCATTCACTGTAGAGCTTTATGGAAAGTCTGGCAGATCCAACTCCAGTAGTAACTGCTAGTGATAGAGGCCTTGGTGACAGTGCAGGTGAGGGACAGGGTCTGTCCAGGCTTCACCAGGCCAGGTCCTGACTCCGGTAGTGTCAGATGAGACAGGACACAGGAGGACAAGGGGAGTAAGGGAGAGTCTTTCCCATTCCATTCACAGACCCTGTAAACATCTCATCAAATCAGGTTGTTCCATCTCTCCCTGGTCATTGTACTTGTCCTGGACCAGTCTGCACAAAGCTGTTCAGGAGAAATTTGTAGAGCAGGCTTGGTGGGGAGGGGGCACATCCTTGCATCAGGTGATGCCAAGCATGAGGCACAGACCTAGTTCCTCACCTAGGGGGCACTGCTCCTCTCGTATGGGTCTTTAGGCTTCCATGATGAGGGTAATGCTCATTCTGCATTGGTCTACCTACATGGATGGGGGAGAGGTGTCCTCACTGACTGCAGGTCTGTGTCTACATTTTTATTTATGTATGTATTTGTTTACAGAATTACTTATCAGATTAGTGAAGTGTGTCTATGTGTGAGTGTGTGTGTTTGTGTGTGTGTGTGAGTGTGTGTTGGGCTCATGTGTGACATCAAGTGCGGATGGCTTTCTCCGAGTGTAAGGCTTGTGACTATCTGAGTACGTAGTTCACTCCTGATGTGAATTTACCACAGCAGATCCTGTGTGAAATGTCTAAAGGCTCATTTTTACACTGATTCTGCCATGTCTTCTATCTTGGGAACACAGAATTTACATTGTTAAGGTACATGGGATTATAGTATATTTAATAATTTCATGAAAATAATAGAATCTTGATTATTGTACTTCCCCATGTGTTTCATTCACCTTTCCATCACCGTGAAGAAATTACGTGAGATAATCAACTTACAAAAGGAAATATTTATCCTGACTCACAGCTAGAGGGCCACTCCATAGACAACTGGCTTCACTGTTATGAGTCCACAGGGCAGCAGAACGTCATGGTGGCGGAGGTGTGTGACCAAGAACAGCTGCTCCCCAAACAGTGAGTGAAAAAGACAAAGAGCAGCAGAAAGAAAGACAGGCAGACAGAGGCATAGAGAGACATAGAGAGAGAGAGAGAAAGACACAGGAAAGAGCTCAGGACCAGGTAAAATCCAGGAAGCCATGCTCCCATGACCTACTTCACTTCCTACGTGTCCTTGAGCGATGCCCTCTCCAATGGATGAACCCCTTGAAGACATCCTGCCTCATGATCTACTCACCTCTCTAGGCCCCACCTCAGGCTTTGCTTCACAGGAGAGCATTTAAGATTCACACCATGACACCATACTTTTAACTCTTAATAATGGTCCATTTTCATATTTAGCATTTAAATAAAGGCTTTGGTAATTTCCTAGTGTGTGAACTGTGAACCTGGTAATCAAGTTGTATCCTATCAATGACCCAACGGGCTCAGGTACCAGGCACCCTACATGCTGCACCTTTATTAACAGAACAGATCATCTCTCTTGCATAAATAGCCAAGAATGCCATGTGATGGAGAATTAAAGAAGTAACAGGAAGTCAGGGCCACCAGGCTCTGGGTGAAGGGGAAACCTGAGAGGCTGACAGGAAGTGCACTCTTTCCTGAACTAGGAGAGAACTGAGCAGAGACCCAGCCACTGATCTTGTACAGGAGGTGCTCAAGGCTGAGCCTCTGTGCTATTCTCGCACAGTAATATGTGGCTGTGTCTGCAGGGTCCATGCTGGTCATTGTGAGGGACACCTGGTTGTTGGTGTCCTTGGAAATTGTGAGCCGGCTCTTCAGGGCTGAGTTGTAGTACTTATCATCATTCCACCAAATGTGTGCCAGCCACTCCAGGCCCTTCCCTGGGGGCTGTCGGATCCAGCCTACACCCATATTAGTTGTGCTCAGTGAGAAGCCAGAGAAGGAGCAGGTCAGCCTGAGGGTCTGGGTGGGAGTCACCAGCCCAGGGCCAGACTCCTTCAGGGTGACCTGGGACAGGACCCCTGTGGAGAAACAGAGCAGAAAGGTGAGTTAGTTTGGATGAAGACAGGAGCTTTGCATGCCTCAGGCCCTGACCAGGGCACTCACAGGCAGGGACGGTCAGCAGGAGAAGAATGGAGCACAGCCTGTCCATGGTGGGCACCGGAGTCCTGACCCAGGCCCTGCTGGGCTTTTCAAGCCGGGAGGGGAGGAGCTGGTGGAGATTTGCATGTCCTCCCCAGGTCCTGAGCTTGATGGGAGGGCTCAGGGCTCAGAATAAAGAGAGAGCAAGGCTGTGATGAGCAGCACCTGTCCCCTCAGGTGTGAGTTCCACATTTGCTACCAGTGAGTGATGCCTGCACACTCAGTACTAGGAAGTCAGACACAAAGCCTCAAATTAAGCTTGTGTTGCCAGGGATTTAGCTCAGTGGTTCTACCGCCTGCTTCATAAGCTGAAGGACCTGAGTTTGATCCCCAGTACAAAAAAAAACAAAAACAAAAACAAAAAATATATAACCTTGTGGTTGGAGGACATCAAGGCTGAGAGGCCCCCATTGCTGCACACAGGATCCTGCCTGTGCTTCCTTTCCTGGAGAATGGGAGGAAACTAATACAAATGGTGTCTCTCCTGCCAGTGTACTGTGTGCCTGGGGACAGCAGGAGGCCATTCCTGCATGTTAGTCCTGACCTCTCTATGACCACCTTGGAGAGTAAAGGGATGATGGTTAGCATAAGAGAGGGACCGAGGAGTCACTCTGACTTCCTGGGTTTACAGGTGCCTGCTCCCCAGTGTGTCTCCATGAGTGTGTCATGCCAGAAGGACAGTTCACACATCACCCGCCTGTCCTCATACTCAGTCAGTCCCGCGCAGACAGAGGGTTTCACTCTGACTCCCATCTGCTGCTCCCCCGATGGAGCTCAGGATTTTAGTTGCTCAGGTGGACTCAGGGGCACAGCTGGCTAACAGCTCCCTCCCTCCCTGCCTTGCTGTGCTCCTGCACTGGCACAGTTGCCGTGATGTGGTCTTGGACACTTCCTCCAGCACAGTCGGTCCTCATCACCACAGAAAATGGTGCACAGCGTGGACAGTTCTGGGGCCTCACATGGACATGGAGCCCTGAAACCTGTCTGTCCTCTGCTCCATGTCTGTACGCAATTTATGTATTTTTCCTGGTTTTATAATTTAAAGTCATTTTCTACCTTGTCATATAGTTGTACAGCTTGCAGTTAACCTCTTGTTGTATACACTGCTCTGTGATCTAGAATTTTTCTTGTCAAAACCCAAACCATGAATAAGATCAGAGATATCAGGTTATAGTGCATGCTCAATTTTCTCAGATTCAGAGAGGAGCAGGTGAGAAGCAGAAGGGCAGAACCAGACACTCAAGGTCATGACCAGTAACCCTGCATGACTTAAACACCTCCTCAGAGATTGTCAGTAATGGACAGTCCTTGTTCTTCGATCCTTTTGTTGTTGAAGACTGCAGAAAGTATGATATTGGTCTCAATTTAACCAATGTAAGAATTGAAACAAATTTAATTTTTTTAAACTTATTTAATTTCGTCATGTTACAAGAATGAAATGGGTGTCATCTTACAATTAAACAGTTTGGTGTCATCCAGAAGAGAGAGGGGAGGGATGTCCACAAACTTTCCCATCACCACATATCTCAGTGCAGATGTGAAAGAGATCATCTCCATTATCCTAAGTGGCATCCAAGGGCTCCCAGGATCTAAATAATTTTCAACAAACCTTGCGAAAGCCTGTAATCCCTGCAGTCTGAGAGTCTGAGGTAAAAGGATCACAATTTTGATCTCACCTTCTGTTATAAGTGACATAACCAGACCCTAGCACAATATTACAAAAAGAGAGAGGGTTGCATTATAGGTAAGGTTTCAATTTCTAGTACTTACAAACACTTATTTCCACTGAGTCTGTAGTAAGTGGTGATTGGATTATGCACCCTTGATTCAGCCAAGCGCCCTGATGTGGCAGCACATCCTGAATCAGCAGGGAGCACTCGCAGTGTAACCACAGCTGTCCTCACTGAGGGAGGTGGAGGTGGACGGAGCTCAGAAGGAGAAGGGGATGTGGCTGAGCGAAGATGCCCGGCTGCTGGATCTCAAGGTGGAGGGAGAACCATGAGCAAAGGAAGGAAAGGAAGCTGTTCCTGAAGCTGGGCTGGAAGCAAATGCCTGGCACGTGAAGTTTGACAAGTGCTTTTCAGTCCAGAGAAAGGGAGTTTGGGTTTTGTGTGGTTCTAACTGTAAGAGAATCAGTGTGTATTATTTTAACCCTTCATTTTAGGTTATAAGATTTTAGCAGCTATATTGATTCATCCAGATTTCATAATCTGTAAATGATTATTACTTTGGCAAGACAGGAAATATGAATATGGCTGTGGATTTCTCTGAGTTACAGAGTATATGGCTGGATGCCGAGGTGTCTGACAGAGATTTATAGATTTGTTTCTATGCATGTTTGACATGAGTGACTATTGAATGCCCTTTTACTGAGGCCACAGAAGAAAGGTGGAAAATTATTGGATCCTGGTGGGAAATGGATTCTTCTTAGAGAGTTCAAGGAACTGCAATGAATTTTGTTCTACACTCTGATTAATTATAGATATTTAAATAGTAAACTTGGATGTTTAGCTGAAGATATTTCCACAACTCAGTCCTTCACCTGTGTCCTAGTTTGTTTGTTTGTTTTTGAGTGATTGATCCCAGTTCTATTTCAGAACTATTATGGGTCCAACAAAAGTGGATGATTTCCAGTTTTTACAAGTTTTTATAGTTTTGGGAATGCTGATAATGAATTTCTTCATTTCTTATGAGCTTGGAGCACAAACCACAATTAACTAATTAATAGAGTCAAGGATCTGATCCAACCAAGTTGAAAACACATTTTGATATCCATTGCTAACCCAGGAAAGGCACAGAAAAAGAACACCACTGAAGGCACAGGAGAAGTTAGGAGAGATTTCAAGGGTCTCCCAGGAATCAGGAATTCAGAAGGGTAACAGTTACAGGCTGGGCAGATCCCAGGTGACTGTGTGTTCTGGGAGGTGACCTCACCCTAGCTGGATGCTGCAGGTTCACCTGTGACAGCGCACCAAAGATGAGGACCATCTTATTCCATAATTACTGGATAGGTCAGTGATTATGTTGGTGCCAGGAGAGGAGCAGAGACAGGTGAATGGATAGAGGATGCCCTGGATGTCAAGATGCACTGGATGTGAGGAACATGGCCACTTCTTAGAGGCAGTGATTTCAGTGTGAGAACATCACCTTCACTCTCTCTTCATGGACCATGCATGTGAGGAGGCAGGAGTGTGATTTATGAATCCAGGACAAGACTTCATCAGGGTGACTTAAGATGGGACTCCGTTGGAGATACAGAGAGGAAGGTGAAGGTAGTTCAAGTGAGAATAGAAGCCTTTGCGTTGCCGAGACCCTGACCAGAACTCTCATAGGCGGAAAGAGTCAGCAGCAGGAGGGGGAGCAAAGCCTGTCCATTATTGGCTTTGATGAATTCCATAAGAATTCTGACTCAGACCCTTTTGGGGTTTTCAATAAAGGAGAGAAGCTACAGAGTTGCATTCTCTTTCCCTAAGTCCTGACACTAATTAGAGAATGCATGATGTGGGGAGGGTCTGTGATGAATAGCACTTCAAGTGTTCATACTTGGTGTAAGTTTAGGTAAGAAAAGTCTTCCTTCAGGATCTCCAGGACAGAGTTGGACATTCAGATTCAGAGGACCACTTTCCTATGTTAAAAATATGCTCCAATTTTTAAATTCCAGTCTTACCTGTGCTTCAGGGATGCATCAACCTGTGCACACCAGGGTCGCACTGCAATGGGGAAGGCTGTAGGTCACCTGTGAGGCAGTCTTGATTCAGCTCAGGTGAAGCAGGTTTTCACAGCATTACCAAGTACAAATGCTGCTACAATTTGTCTATGAAAAGTACATAAATTTGTAAGGAGAAATATAATATAGTGTCTTTAAATCATCTATATATCTAAATATTATGTCTATCATCTATCTACATGCCTATTTAAATTAATAAATACTCACTCTATAACCAGAACTATCTAATTTATGTTGTGCCTCCATTTTTACTTCTCCAGAGCTACTGTATGGATTATGAAGGTGGATCTAGTCTAATATTTATCACAATTAAAAGTAGATCCCTAGCATATATGACTTCATCAAATATTTCCCTTCACTTAAACTTGTTTATTGTATTATATATTCAAGGATTGTAATGTAGTTGGACTTGTTCATGTACAACTATGACATCATCTTGAGTACCAGGTACATATTTCCACTTTAATGGCAGTTATTTCACAACTTGTTGACTTGACCAATAATTCCTACTTCTGCCTCTCAGCTGTGGACACCAGCTGTCTGCAAGAAGACCGTGTACTTCCTTGATGGGCAATTTTGCCAAATATAAACATCTCACAGTGATATAAACAGGGGCATTTGTGTGAGTTATCGAGAACAGGCTGGACTAGGAACCTGTTGTTCATCTACATAATAATTATCCTAGTTCATCAGTTTTCTGGTGTATATACTATTAGATGTGAAGTCCAGAGCACAAAAATGTTTTGCTATTTTGATGGAGAGAATCTTCATTATTCTTGGCAACAAAACAGCACAATAAATATATTTTTTTAAAGAGATAGCTACATTAGCGTAGATAAAAGCATCAACCTCACACAACCATTCCTGAGAGCTTCCTTGCTGAGTTCTCATTTGACTGAATCCCAGGACTGTGATTGAGATAGCATAATTTGATTATCTTAATAAGATTTTGTGCCAGGGTTCTCCCCTGTCACATTATTCTGGTTGCTATTTTATTATGGAAGCAGGCAAGACATAGAAAGGCAAGTACTTCATGATCCTACTTATTATATGTAGACATAAAACGATCAAACTCAAAGAAGCAGAGAGTAGAACAGTGGCCACCATGGCTTTGGTAGGGAAGATAAATATTAGGGTGTTGATCATAGGGGACAAATTTTCAGTTGTACAAGAAGGTCAAGTTCTGGGACAGCACAGGCCAAAAAGTTACAGTTTTTTATCAAATACTTAAAGAATTTTCAGAGCAACATATCTTAAATTTTCATGTTCCCAAAGGAAGAATACAAGTGTTCAACATGGTCCTTTGGAGATAGCATATAAAAGATTGCCATTGACAGTATTAATAATTTGATAATTCTATGTGTGTTTATTTATTTATAAATACATTAAATGTATAAACTAAATGCCTATAGTTTTATATCAACTTCATGCCAATAAAGCATAAAAAGTGGATGACATATACATCAAAGATAGGGAGGTGATACATGGGGATAAGTTTACAGATGGATGAAAAAATAAATTTTTATATTACAGACAATAGATACCTGGATGAGAGATAATTATGTGGAACAAAACTGGAAGATAGAAAATTACTAGGTTAATAAATAGATGCATAAAGGACAAATTAATACATAGACAATTCATAGATAGATAAATTTGAGTATGATAGAACATAGATAGATTGACCAATAAATGGACAGAGAGTTGAAAGAGTGGTGAATAGCTAGTTATTCAAAGTGTCACTGGCTAAATTTTATCTACAATGTTTAACTTCATTCATAATTATTAAATCACAAATAAGGTGAATGACTCTTTACATATGTGAATATGTAGAAATCCTATCTCAATGGTTTTTGATTTAGGTAATCATCTCAACAACATTTGCTCATGGCCTCAAATCCCTTTGATCCCAAGGCTCTGAGTCATTTTATATCAGGTGGGAGTGAGAGTCCGGGCTTAACCAGCCTTGTTCTCAGGACTCGGGTGGCCACAGACAAAACTGACCTCCAAATTCCCAACTGTGCAGATCTTGGCATTTTTACCGGTCTTGAGTCAGAAATAGATACCTTGTTCTTTCACAGAACAATGTTCAGATCAATGTCCCCATATCAGCTGACAGAATAGCAAGAAATGGTTTTCTAGGGGCCCTAAGCATTTGAATGATGAGCTTTGGTATGGTTCCCACATGTTAGTGTGGGTAACGTGAATAAGGCAGATTCACTTTGCTAGTTCTAAGGTGCTGCATCCCAGTTCCTGAGTCTCAGCACTACTGACATCCCATTCAGACAAGGTGTTGTCTGTGCAGCCTCCTGTGATTGTAAGATATGTGACACCAATAAGGTTTTCTACTAACTATGTGGTAGAAACCTCACCAGAGTGGAACAAACCCAAACTGTCCAAGGCATTGCTCAACATCCTCGAGGGTATTGAACTAAACACCTTAAACAGCATGAGTACCTCTAGATCAACATACAGAATAATGTCCAAGCATTTAGAGTAAAGGGTTTTTCATAAACCAGGCTTGGGAAGTGCACTTCAGATGAGATGCATAACTGTAGGCATTTAATTCATACAAATCATCCTGCAGATTCACCTGAGGGTTTAGGGAAGGCTTCCAGCCAACAGGGAAATGATTTTCATAGTTCAGTGTTCTACACCTAAATAGTTCAGTGTTCTACTTCTAAAAACTAATGAGACAGTGTGGTCAGTTGAAGTGTGTCACGCGCCATTATTTCCGGGTTCTTCATGCCCTGCATGAATTCCGGATATGAGTCCGCCGGTGACGGTGGTTCACTCCTGCGCAGATGAGGCGCTTGGTTCGTCAGAATGATGCAGGCCGGCATTGACCAATAGAAATGGGCCTCGTCACCCGAGAGGCTATAAAAGGCAGGCTCGCATCCGGCTCGGGGTCTTTCCGCCATCTTAAAGAATGTAGAAGAAACTCCAATAAAGCGTGCATCAGAAGAATCCTGAGTGTTGCGTGCTCCTTGCTGGCGAGGTGCGCACGACAAGTGGTGCCGAAACCCGGGAAGCGACGACCATCATCGCCGGCATCAGTGGAGACCCCTGACTTCAGGAGGATTCAGAACTGAGCAGCAGGAGGGGAGGATCCACCAACTTTCCGAGAGGTACGCTGTCTGGTGTGGGCGGGTGTTTTAATTTGTTTACTCCAACAGGTTTAATTTTGTCGGTCGCCCACTTTCGTAGATAAGGGAGAAATGGGGGATTCAACTTCACAATCACTGGTTTATGCTTTACAAAGTCTTTTGAAGGAAAGGGAGTTAAAAATATCAGAGCAAATTTTAAGAAGGTTTCTAAAGGAAGTGGATCGAGCGGCGCCCTGGTTCAGCGGTACCGGGTCACTCACGATCCCATCCTGGGAAAAATTAGGAAAAGACCTCCAGCGAGAGAAAGATAAGAATACCTTAAGATCGGGGGTTTTACCAGTGTGGAAGATGATTAGAGCCTGTTTGGAGGATAAGCGCTGCAATGACAAGGTGCGCGAGGGACAAAAATTGTTTAGGGAGCATCAAGACAGTGTATCAGAAACGGAGAGGGAAGAAAGAAGTAAGTCTAGACAAAAACGGAGAATAATGGGAGCTCAAGAAGAAGGGAGCAAAATTTCCGGCCCTATTGAGGCCTCAACGGGCCTCTATCCTGCCCTAGATGAATTAAAAGGATTAACATTAGCAGAAAAGGAAAGTAATTCGGAGGGCTCCTCGGAGGACTCCGAGACCGCGTCGGAGTCCTCAGGGGAGCCGCCCGAAAAAGAGGAAGTAGTAAGATAATTCAATTGGCCAAAACCATCTGAGTGCACTCGTTAAAATTGTCTTATATGTTTGTCTGTCTTAAGTGTTATATGTTTGTCTGTCTTAAATGTTCAAAGATGTTTGTATGTTCTTGATCAGAATGACGTCAAATGCAAGTAGATTGTTGATTTCTACAACCTGGCTTTATAGGATCAAATAAAAAATTTAAAAGATATTTAAATACAACCTTCAAGTTTGGATATGCTCCTGTTGGTGAATAAAGAAGCAGCTGCTCAGAAAGTTTATTCTGATCTTTGTTCACTAATGGGAGCCACCAAAATAATTTTTTATAGCCTTATAAAAAGATACATCTTGTTAAATATGTTGTTGGGAATATTGTTGGTTATCAAAGGTCTGAATTATAAATATGTTTCTGATGGTTATTTTCTGTTAAAAAAAAAAAGGGGGGGGAGATCCTGTTGATACAAAGCCACATTACAGGATATAAGAATTCATTATAATTATTATTGCTATTTTTCTGGTATACAAAATGTATTTATATTGTTTGACCATGCAGGTTTTCCAGCATATTGTTTATGACAATAACCCTTTGGTCCAGGTATTCTCTCTTCTCTTCTGCTCCACCTACTTATGGTTAGTTCTTTTCACCACCAACAACAGGACCATCAACATCACCACAACACTTCAATGGTCTGCGCAACATCACCTTCGCACCCACTCCAGTTTGCGTGTGGCCACCATTTCTTTGGCTTGTGGCTAATGTGACTCTCTCACAGACTATGGAACTGAATTGTGCCAATGATACTTGTTGGTACGCATCCTGCTGGGACGCTACCAAATTTCCTCATGCTGTGGTCGTTCGAATGCCTCGATTCATTCCTGTGCCAACGGAAGTGACGAATCCCTTGAGTATTGTAAGATCTAAGAGAGACTTTGGGATTACGGCAGCAATAGTATCGGCGATAACTATTGCAGCCGCTGGTGCGACCGCAGCCGCCGTCTCTCTTTCCACGTCAGTACAAACCGCAACCGCTTTGAATAATTTGTCAGCCAATGTAGCCTCTGCGCTCGATATGCAAACCTCTGTTAATGCTCATTTGAAGGGAGGGTTAATGATTGTTAATCAAAGGGTTGATTTAGTGCAAGAGCAACTTGATGTGTTATGGCAATTGGCCCAAATAGGATGTATGTGGAGGATGCCAGGACTCTGTGTTACACCTGTACAATATCATAATATGTCAAAAGCTGCGAATCTATCTAGGGAACTCTCTATGTATTTGACATCAAATTGGACGGGACGTTTTGATCACTTGGTTAGACAATTGAGAGTAGCCATTGCTCATGTTAATTCTACCCGAGTAGACATTGTTTTTGCACAAGGTATATCTGATTGGATTGCAAGTGCTGTATCTATTCTGAAGGAGTGGGCTGGAATGGGATCAATGATTGCTTTGTTGGCTTTGGCAGTGTTTTTGGGATTTTGGTGGTTATGTAAGATGAGACGACAGAGACAAAATGATAATATCATGTTGATGCAAGCTTTTGCTGCCCTTGAAGCCGGATACTCGCCTGCTGTTTGGTTGGCCAATTTACAATAGCTTGAACGTTGGTCATTATCTGCCTATGCCTTGCTCATTCGGGAGCCATAAATATCTGCATCTCTCTACCTCCTTGGACATGGCCTCTGCACTCTGTGGATTAGTCCATTGCACCAGAATCAGGCATGTCTTTTTACAATCTTGTTGATCAGCCTTTGCACCGCTCAGAGGTTCTCCTCATTGCACGAGCTAAGGTGATCCAACAGTTGCTCACATGGAATACCTGCTTCGACCACCTTTCGGCCGGGGTGGTTGACAGGCTCCTCCTGAGCTCTAGTTATTTTAAGGAAGGGGGAGATGTCACGCGCCATTATTTCCGGGTTCTTCATGCCCTGCATGAATTCCGGATATGAGTCCGCCGGTGACGGTGGTTCACGCCTGCGCAGATGAGGCGCTTGGTTCGTCAGAATGATGCAGGCCGGCATTGACCAATAGAAATGGGCCTCGTCACCCGAGAGGCTATAAAAGGCAGGCTCGCATCCGGCTCGGGGTCTTTCCGCCATCTTAAAGAATGTAGAAGAAACTCCAATAAAGCGTGCATCAGAAGAATCCTGAGTGTTGCGTGCTCCTTGCTGGCGAGGTGCGCACGACAGAAGTGTAAACAATTGTTTCATAAAAAAAAGTACTCTGCCACTGATAATGTGTTTAATGTGAAAGAAACAAAGAAGGCTAACTGCATGAAAACATAATGCTGCATGACATAAAAGTTCCCTGGTATCTCTGTGCCTGCGGTACTCTTGGAGATACTAATCACCCGCAGAAAAAGGCTTTCCTTCTCATCTGCTGTGGGTTGTTTCTTGCTCTACTGTGTGTTTTGCCCCCCCTACTGGTGGAGAGCACCGTGGCAGGGAGGTTTCTATCTAGTCTCACATTGAAATCTCCTGACTGTCTTGCACAGTAATACACGGCGGTGTCCTCCGTAGTCACAGAGCTCAGGTGCAGGGAGAACTCATTCTTGGACGTGTCTCTGGTGATGGAGATTCGGCTTTTGAATGTAGAGCTGTAATCAGTGCCTCCTCGAGAACATATCCATCCCATCCATATCAGTGCCTTCCCTGAGGGCTGCTGGATCCAGCTCCAGCAGTAACCACTGGTGATGGAGTAACCAGACACCGTGACTGACAAGGTCTGTGAGGGCTTCATCAGGCCAGGTCCTGACTCCTGCAGCTGCACCTCTGACAGGAAACCTGGGCACAAGGGAAATGTGTCTTTTCATCACCTGCAACCACAATCTGCTCATAGGACCACCCGTGTCATTGTGGACACTCACCTTGGAGAGCTGTCACCAGGCACAGGAGAAGACTCAAAATCCTCATCTTCTAGACTTCTCCCCTGTCTTTCCCAGACACCAAGACTCTGTCTGAGGAGAGGGCTGTAAGCTCCCACAGCCAGAGGGGGGGAATTTGAATCTCGGGCTTGAATTAAAAATTTGCATATACAGTCTTTATAGAAGTGGGAAGGTACTGAGATCAGGAGGACCTTGCTCATTCTGTGGTCCATGAGCTATCTATTCTGCTCATCTTAAGTGGAGTGTAAGACTGTGTAAGAGATTACATAGTTTAACGCAGGAGTTGGAAGGCAGTCAAATATAATTCTCTATCCTGAATCCAGATCATCATTCTCCAAGCCCATATACAATCATTTTCTCCAGCCCAACTTTCCTTATCCAAAAAAGCTGTGGGTCTTGAATGCTCTGTGTTGGCCCAAGGAAAACTCTAAGTTCCTATCCTGGGTCCCCATCCTGTGAATGGATTCCCATATCCAAGGAGTGGTTTTTATGGTCACATTGCTGTCATTACATGAGGTGCAGGCTGGCTACATACTCTAAGGCATGCTGTGATTCTGAACACTCCTGATTCAGACCCAAGAGAGATAAAATGAGTTTTCTCTCATGTTTTACTACAAAAGCACTAAACAGTGGGATAAAGAAAGTAGCTAAATACCTCTGTCCTCAGACGATACTTGTGCAGGTCATAAGTGATCACTTCATTCTATGTTGACATTTCTTCTTATATAGATTATATTCTTAAATTTTAATGGTCTGTCACATTGTAAATGGAATTTTTAAAATTTACATGTAACTGATATCAGGAGGAAACTTAAATGCCATAAGTAGGATACAGAAAGGCAAGTGCGGCCAGTTCACACTCAAATGTGGATAATATAGCACCTTGAGCAGGATGTAGAATAGGATGACTACAGGCTACAAAGTACCAGAGAGCAGAGAATATAGAGAACAGGTACCAAAAATGCCAGACAGAAAGGAGATTTTCTTGGTTTCTCCTGCTCAGAGACATAGAATTGTGATTATCATAAAAAGCAATCTATGAGCACATCCTGAATCACTGTGAGAGCTTGGGATTCAAAACTTTATCAGAGATGAATCTGAGGGCCTGCTTTGTTTCCTACTCTCCTGGGATCACACTATGCTCTCTTCACACAGGAAAAGTAAGTGTAGACTGATGTATGTCTGCTTTTCTCTGTGTCTCTGTCTCTGTCTTTGTTTCTCTTCCTCTCCCCTCTCTCCTCTCTTTCTCCCTTTTTCCCCTTTTATACACCTGAAGCTTGTGAGACAATTTAAGTTCCTTAATATTTTATTTGATTCATGGGAAATGTTGATATAATATTTTTAAGTTTCCTAAACAAATTAAACATGGAATCAAGATTGAGAATTAGTAACTATGCAAGATTTTGTAATAAATAAAATAAAACTGAACTAATTTCTTATGATGATAAAAAGGATAGGAGAAACATGGGTCCATTTTTCCATATCTTCTTGGTGGGAATCAACACTAAGGATCCAGAGAGTACACTGAGTTTAACAGATATTAACTAATAGAAATCATCAGTGAGGGAACGAGTTACACTAGAGCCAAGCTGTAGGTGTCTGACAGCATTTGGGCCCCATCTAGAAATATTTCCAGAGTGTTATCCACTCCATGCTGGGCCACCCCATGGCTCCTTCTCCTCCAGTGGTCCTGGGCACAGTATTTCAATGGGTAATTGTTGTGCGGGTGTGGAGAGGACCTGTTCTCCTCTTTTACCATCACAGATGGCTCTGGCTTATGCTAAGGATCACAGTCTGAGTTGGATCAGATGCATGTCCACCATGAAGGCAGTTATGAATGAGGACACCATCTGTTTCCCCGGTTAGAGGGAATGGATGTCCATCAATCCCCTCAGCTCCACTGACCTCATGTTTGAGTATTTGAATGTTTTCTGTACGATCTTTGGACTCTGTGTGTCAGTGATGGACACAGGTCTTAGCTCCTGGAAAACAGACATCATTTGCAGGATCTGATGCTGATCAGTCACCAGGTCAGTTGAGCTCCCATAATTTGTGATGACCTTGAAGAGTTGGAGTCAGAGAAGCCTCTTTCAGAATGAGGCTGAATATGTATCAACCCAGTTTGTCTGATACTTTTGTGTGTTTAGACAGGGATTAGTGGAAGGTCAGCACTGGAATGAGCATCTTCCTCATCACATTATGTCAAAGGCACAGGATAAAACGTCACTTGCTGTGCTGCTTCTGAATATGATTACCAGGCAAGGTCCTGTGTGCCAAGATTCTCTCCCTCAAACTACTCTGGTTGCTGGAGATCTTCTGTGAAACACAAACATATAAGTAAGAACCTTGCATAAATTTTTAAGAGTAGTACATCTTAAATTTTCATGTCACAAAAGAAAAGAGGTATCCAGCAGGCTCTTCTGGAGGTAATATATGGGCAATTAGCTTTGACAGTCATAAAGATTTGATAAGTGTATGCATATTTGCTTATATCCAAATGCATCACATTGTATAAATTTAATTAATCCGATGTCACTAAAGCAGGTACTATATATACATAGTACGTAGATTCATGATAGGTAGACAATTGATGAAGACATATTTAACATGTGGAATTATAGGGAGATAAATAACTGATTACAAATGATAGATGTGTAGATTATAGATAATTACATGGACCAAAACTGGAATATAGATATATGTAGTTAAGTGAATAATTCTTAAATGATATATAATTACATAGATCATAGATGAATATGCATAGTAGGTGGGTAAATAAATGCAAGTGTGATGAAGGATAGATAGATATACAGACAGAAGGATAGATAGATAATAAAGAAGTGGATAACCATACAAAAGGTCATTGGCCCAGATTTCACCTTCAATATTTAATTCTGCTCATAATTTTGCAATACAAATAAAGTAACTAACTGCTTATGTATCTGGACATCCAGAGAGATGCTGCCACAACGATTTGACACTTAGGGAGTTGCTATAACTATATTTCTCCACTGCCCCAAATCCTTACAAGGCCTTGAATTATTTTATACTAGGTAAGCATAACAGTCCAGGCCTGGAGTAGCCTTGTCCTCGGGGACTCAGAAAGGACACAGACACAGCTGACCCAGGCTCCAATCTGTACAGACTTTGGCTGTCTCTCTGTTAGCATTCTTCCACTGATTCAAGCTCAGGTCCCAAGTCAACTGACAGATATTCAAGATATAGAGGCCAATGTCTCTAAGCACTTGGAAAATCAGATTTCTTGTGATGTCCAAGTTTAGTGAGAGTAATATAAACATAGCAAATTCACATTGCACTATCAGTAGTCACTGTGTTTAAGACTTTATATCAGCATCTCTGAGACTCGGCATTAGTTATAATTTGGTTTATAAAAATTATTGTTTGGTGAGTGTCCTGTGACTGTAATGAGTGTGACAGTATCGGTGGTCCATACCAATTAGATGACAGGAGAAATCCTATCTCAGAGGAATCAACACAAATTGTCAATGCCTTGGCATTGTCCTGCATCCTCAGGGGCGGGAAACTGCACAGCTCCAGTGACATGTGGACTCCCACATCATCATATGGATGTTGTCCCACTGCTCAGATTAAAAGGCTGGTCATGATTTTCAGGACTGGGAGGAGCCTTCCAGATGAGATGCCCTGGAGACAGGACTGAAGGTGGACGGCAGACTTGCAGTAAACAAGGTAATAATTTTCATGTTTAAGTGTTTCTGCACCTAAAACCTAATGGGACTACACAGTGAATTGAGTTCTAATCAATAGTTTCGTTGAAAAAATTTACTGTGAAATCCATTGTGACATAGATGTGGGAGAAAACAGAAGCCTGTCTTCATGTAAACATTATACTGAGCAACCAGAGACATTTTTATCCTTAGAATCTCTGTGCCTGGGGCCACTGATGGAGATGCTACTCATCTGGAGAGAAAAACCTCCCAGCTAATTCTCATTTGTTGAGAAGTTGGTTTCTTACATCAGTGTGTGCTGAGCGCCCCCTGCTGGTTGTGAGTACGCCTACGGGGAAGTTTGGGTCTGGACTCCCTAGTATCAAATTACTGTTGTCTCTTGCACAGTAATATACGGCTGTATCCTCCACAGTGGCAGAGTTCAGCTGCAGAAAGAGCTGGTTCTTGCCGGTGTCTCTGGAGATGGAGATGCCGCTCTTGAGGGATGGGCTGTAGCCAATGCTATCACTGAAATATATGTCCCCCATCGACTCCAGGATCTTTCCTGGGGGCTGACGGATCCAGTTCCACTCATAGCCACTGGTTGTGACGGGGAATCCAGAGACCATGCAGGGGAGGGACAGGGTCTCTGTGGGCTTCACCAGGCCTGGCACAGACTGTTGCAGCTGCACCTGAGACAGGACACCTGAAGCAAGTTAAAAACGTTCATGTCAGTCACCTGCTTTCATCACCTTCCCATGGACCCCTGTCTCACACTGAGGACACTCACCATGGGGACCTGTCACCAGGCACAGGAGAAGACCTAGCAGTCTCATCTTCTGGACCACACCTGCCTTCCCCAGAGGTCTCAGCCCTGTGTGCGGATGGAGCTGTGAGCTCGCACAGCCCGAGAGGGAAATTTGAATCTGGAGTTGGAGGATAAATTTGCATGTGGGTGCTTACTGACTATATGAAGAGCAGACTGAGGCCAGACTCTTGTGCCTTCTTTTGTGCTATTAAGAGGACTCTCGTCTCCTGAACTCAAGTTGAATTTAAGGTTGTGCTAAGTGGAAAGCTGATTTCAGAGGAATGGTGAGACCAAGGCAGTGATGATCTCATTTTCCTGATCCCAGGTCAGGCCTGTGACACCATACCTGGCTCTAAACTCATTTTTCTTTTGTGAAAGAAAAGAGCACCAGTATTCATATCCACGCCAGTTAATGAGTTTCTCACTTTCCCTGTCATTATCTATGATTGTATATAGTGTAGATATAAGAAAAATAGATAGTGTAGATATAAGAAAAAAGTGATCAAGTCTGCTATATACATTAAATCAGTATGCTCTTATTTAATGGAGCACAAATGATTTATTTTAACAGATTTCATTCTGAAACCAGTGGAGCTAAGGGTTTCCCAGAAATTGCCATTCTTGTGGCTGGATGCAAGCATGGGACGTCTTGCAGCATCAGGCAACAAGGTTAGCCTCCAAATTAGAGGAATGAGCTATGTTTCTGGGAGAAATAAGACAGTTTATAGGGCAGTCTGTTAATGGGCTATCATGTGTCATCTTGTAGTTCCTTTTGGCGGATGTTAACATTCACTTCAGAGGATTCAAAGTGATCAGATTTTTCTCCATAATGTGCATGAAAGTTAGTCAAAGAAAGGATTCCTGAATGGCATAAAATTTTTTGTTGAAAAAAGGAATCGAAGGGCTGGGGATTTGGCTTGGTGGTTCCGCCACCTGCTTTGCAAGCACAAGGGCCTGAGTCTGATCCCGGTATTGGAAAGAAAAAAAAAAAAGGTACTATTTTGGGCCAGGGATTTGGCTCAGTGGTTCTGGTACCAAAAAAAAAAAAAGAATTGATTTGATAGCAATTTTATTTGTAATCCATCCATGCCATAAGCTCTACTGGAGACCAGGGTATACACATGTGTGACGAATCCAAGCACCCTAGGAAACTTCTACCAGGATTGCCAACTAATCTCTATTCACCAAATTTTCTCTCCCATTTAATGATACACAAAATAATAAACACCCATTTTAATTGAATATTTGAGTGAGAGCAGTTGAGTTCCGCGAAGATGAGTAGAGATGTTCTGTTCACTGGGAATCAAGAAGGCTTTGTAAAGGGTGGCACTCACCTTTTAGCGCTGCCTGACATGCAGTACAGCCCAACACGGAGCAGCGATGCTGTTGCCAAGATGAGAAGACTGAACGGGAAGCCATGATTCCCAACTTCCCCACCTACAACACAAATGTGGCAATGAAAAGCCAACAAAATGAAGTGAGGAATAGTGGTGTCATGTGTCAAAAATCAACCTGTTGTACAGATGGAAATGCTCTAACACACCATGCATGAGTTTCCTTGTTAATTCATCCTTTTACCTTGGTCTCTGTGTCAGCACCTACTTGATTTCCCTGTCCCTAAATATTTGCATGTTGTACAAGATTTCAAAATGCCATGAAAAACTACATGACCCATCAATTCAGTGGTAATTCTTTATCTGTTAAAAGGATTTATTTTTATTACTACAAGTTCATAGTGCATGATGATTACATTCCTTTTGAAGTCTTGGTGCTTCTTCAAAACACATCTTAATTCTTTTTTGAAATCTTCTCTTCTCCTCCCTCCTCCCTCCCTCCATCTCTTCATATCTTTCCTTTTTGTAAAAGATGTATCTGTTTCTCTTCTATTATCTATCCTTCACTTTGCACTTTAATTTATTTTTACATTAGGTGTATCCTCTCGGAGAAATCATGTGATATTTAAGCTTGTATTTTGATCTATTTCACTTAACACTACGGTCACCAGTTATATCCATTTTTTGGGGGGTACTGGGGGTCGAACTTGGGTCCTTGCACTTGCAAGGCAGGCCACCAAACCGCTGAGCTAAATCCCCGGCCCCTATATCCATTTTTTACAAATGACTCAAGTTTATCTTTCTTTATGAAGACATCACCTACTTCCAAGGTTTAGGTATTGTAAATTTTGCTGCTATAAATTATGCCTAAGTATGCATGTATGTGATGACTTTAGGCCTGTGTAAAGTATTTGATATTTTAGCTGTGTTGATGACAATATCAAGAAAACACTATGAACAGAGCCAAAGTCTAATGGTAAAATAAAAAATACTTGCAATCCAGCAGGAAAAAAACCATTTAAATTCTTCACCACAAGTGATTGAACAGAAAAAGCGAAACAGGAATATGAACAAATATTTCATTAAAAATAAGAATGGCCAAAATTGTTTGGAAATGGTACCCAGCTCCCTTAATGCATTGAAAATTTTCCACCAGGAAACCAGCCCCAAACCCAACTTCCAAACCAGCCCTGGCCTGGTGGTTCCTGTGCAGCTCCAGCTCTCCATCCCTGCTGACACCTGCAGGAGCTTCGTGACTTTGCTCCCAGAGACCTCCCTTGTGATGTATGTCATGCACAGTACTTAGAGCCAGGGGCCAGGAAAACTGATTCTTGGCTGTGTGTCTGAAGTAGGAGATGAAACAATTGGAGCAGGTTGAGGTTGGTTCACTCAAACTGAGACATCTCCCAGTCATTAAACTTCATCCTTGGAGTGAATGGATCCACTCCTAACATGAACTACTGGTATGGATGGAACATCTGGGGGCACAAGATGATAGTTAGCCTTCTGTCAGTGTAGTGGAGTTCCTGACATAGATGACTGATGTGAGGAATGTTTTATTTTTAGGAATGGTTCCATTCTACAGTTGCTCTGTTCCGTTGTCTCTGGGTTTGAGGTGAGGTGCAACATCATGGTGGAAGGGCACTACAGAACAAGTTAGCCCACCTCATGGCAGCCAGGGATCACACAGATTGAGTGGAAGGAGCCAGTGTCACAGACACACTTTCTAAAGCACAGTCTCAATCACCAATTTCCAACAAAGTACATATTCCCTAAATTCCCTTCCTCTCATTTCCCATCTTCCCAACAGCACCACCACAGCCATCCGCATAGGAGCCATGAGGACCAATCCTGGTCCACACTATACCACAGAGGGACCAAGTGAGGGTCTCTGTGGGCTTCCCCGCTCCTGAGTCCACTCTTGCAGGTGCACCTGGGATGGGATACAACAGTCTTCCTCCTGAACTGAGCACACGATCATCTTAGAGCCATGTGTGATGTCTCAGAAACTCACCTTGGAGAACTTTCAGCTTGCAAAGGAGACACGTAACTCTCATTTTTTAAGATTGGAACTCTTCCTTCCACAGGGATTTCCATGCTATCTGAGGGGAGGCTAGTGGGCTTCCACAATCCAAGAGCCAAATTTTAAAAGGGTCTCGAAAAAAATCTTTGCACAGAGGATGCCATATCTTCCTTGGTAAAACTGAATGATAGCCAGCTGCCTGTGATCCTTCCTAGGTCCTATCGTATGAATATGGATTTTCATCTTCAATGTCATTCTGAACATTAGAGCTCATTGTATTGAGAGGTGGCAGAACACTGAATGTGTGATGGGGGCACAGGGCATATCTCATATGTGGCTTAACGCTGTCTCCTGGAATTGGATCAATGCCATGAGAGCAGGATGAGATTACGGGAGTATGCCTTTGCATCTGCCTCTCCCGCCAGCGTCTCATGCCCTTATGCAATCTGTTCCACCTGGCAACAGATTCCTGTTCTGAAATGCCTGGCTTTCACATCCTTGAGCCAAAGTAAACCTTTCTTTTGAAATTATACCATCTCATCCACTCTGCTACAGAAACTAAAAATGAATTCAGGCTGGACTTCTGAGGATTTCTTCTCTACAATGGCTTTGGGGAACACTGATTGGGGAACCATACTGGACAAAGGCCCAAGGGCAGCACGAGTTTCCTCTTCCCTGGTTCTCATCCTACCAGGCCATGGCTCCTTTACTCGGACTCCAATCTTGGTCCCTCATGCTTAGTCCATTACTGCTTTCTTTCCCTCCTTCCTCTGGTACCCATGTCCCCTGGGAGTCTGTGTCATGGTCATACTGTGGTGGTCACATGAGCTCCAGACCTGTTCCCTGCTGTTCCCGTTCTGTGTGTGGACTGCAGTGGAAACGTATGGGAAAGTCATCAAGGAGGAGGCAGGCCTGTCACTAAGCTCCATGAAATCCTCTCCACCTCCTGTTCAGGACCCTGTAATACTCAATGCTTATTGTAGCTGTCTGTGAAGATAAAGCTGGAAGATTTGCAAGAGACCTTCACAGAGGCCCGAGGGCTAAGGATCAGATATAATCCACAAGGCCATTCCCCCATGACCTACTTCATCAAACTAGACCCCTTCTCCTAGGTATCCATTCAGCTATGACCTCACCAATGTATTAACCCATTGAGGATACCAGTGTCCTCATGATCTACTCTCCTCTCTAAACCCCTCTGGGATTTGCTGCACTGGGGTCATGCCTTCCATACACGAGCCTTAGAAGGGAATTTAATATCCAAACCATAACATCATACTTTTAACCCTTAATGCTTGCCCTACTTCATAAGCAACTGCATAAAGGCTTTGGTGATTTGTATCCTGCTGGTGTGTGGAATATGGGCTGCTGAATAAGTTGTGTCCTATCAATGAACCAATGGTCCCAGGTACAAGGCATCCTTCCTGATGCACCTTTATTGACAGAACACAGCCTCTCTCCTGCATAAATAGCTAAGAAGAGCATGTGAATGAAAAATTAAAGAAGTAGCAAAAGCTCAGGGCCCCAAGGCTCTGGGGTGAAGAGGAAATCCCAGAGACTGACAGGAAGTACACACTTTCCTGATCTGGGAGGGAGCTGAACTGAGACCCAGCCTCTGATCTTGTACAGGAGGCCCTGAAGGCTGAGCCTCTGTGCTGCTCTTGCACAGTAATATGTGGCTGTGTCTGCAGGGTCCATGCTGGTCATCATGAGGGACACCTGGTTGTTGGTGTCCTTGGAGATTGTGAGCCGGCTCTTCAGGGCTGAGTTGTAGTACTTATCATCATCCCAGTCAATGTTTGCTAGCCACTCTAGGCCCTTCCCTGGGGGTTGACGGATCCAGCCTACACGTGTACCAGTTGTGCTCAGTGAGAAGCCAGAAAAGGAGCAGGTCAGCCTGAGGGTCTGTGTGGGGGTCACCAGCCCAGGTCCAGACTCCTTCAGAGTGACCTGGGACAGGACCCCTGTGGAGAAACGGAGCAGAAAGGTAAGTAGGTTCAGGTGAAGACAGGAGCCTTTGCATCCCGAGACCCTGAGCAGAGCACTCACAGGCAGGGACGGTCAGCAGGAGAAGAATGGAGCACAGCCTGTCCATGTTGGGCACAGGAGTCCTGACCCAGGCCCCGCTGGGCTTTTCAAGCCAGGAGGGGAGGAGCTGGAGGAGATTTGCATGTCCTCCCCAGGTCCTGACCCTGATGGGAGGGCTCAGGGTTCAGAATAAAGAGAGAGCAAGGCTGTGATGAGCAACACCTGTTTTCTCCAGTGTGAGTTGCACATCTGCTCCCCATGAGGGATCCCTGCCTGCTCAGGACCAGGGTGGCATTTGCAAAGCCTCAGATGAGCATTGTGTATGGAGGAAATCAAGGTCCGCATTGCTGCAGCCAGGGTCCTCCCTGTGCTTTCTGTCCTGGAGGATAGGAAGAGACCAAGACAGATGGCATCACTCCTGCAGGAGCTCTGTGTGCCTGGGGATAGCAGGAAGCTATTCCTGCATGTTCAGTACTGATGGGATGACAGTTCGCATAAGAGAGGGACAATGAAATAGTCATTTTCACTTCCTGTTTGTTCAGGTGCCTGCTCCTCAGTGTGTCTTCATGTGTGTGTCAGGCTACGAGGACAGTTCACAGATCACCCACTTGTCCTCATGTCCCATCAGCCCTGAGGAGACAGAGGGTTCCACATCTGACTCCCCTCTGCTGCTCACAAGATGGAGCTCAGGGTTTTAGTACCTGAGGTGGACTCGGGCACAGCTGGCTAACAGCTCCCTCCCTCCCTGCCTTGCTGTGCTCCTGCACTGGCACAGTGAGGTCTTGGACACTTCCTCCAGCACAGTCGGTCCTCATCCCACAGAAAATGGTGCACAGCATGGACACTTCTGGGGCCTCACATGGACATGGAGCACTCAAACCTATCTGTCCTCTGCTCCATGGTTATGGGCAATTTATGCATTTTTCCTGATATATAAGTTATACTCATTTTCTACCTTGTGGTATAGTTGTGCAGCTCTGTTTCTGCTATTAACCTCTTGTTGTATACACTACTCTGTGATCGGAGGGTTTTCCTTACCAAATCTCAAACTATGAATAAGATCAGACACATCAGATTATAGCGCATGCTCCATTTCCTCAGATCCAGAGAGGACCATGTGAGAAGCAGAGGAAGGACAGAGCTGGGCACTCAAGGTCATGACGTCATATCCTCCTCACTGCCTCAGAAACGCTCAGTGTAATAGACACCTTTTGTTCTTGGATCCATTTATATTTAAGGCTTAAATCTGACCTACATAAGAACTGAATGTATGCCTCAAATAAAATCATTCAGTTGAGCATAAGAAATAATTTTCTATCTCTAAACTGATTTCCTTTCAGCAAGTTACAGTAGGTAAAATGGATATACTTCCACAATTAGACAATTTGTTGTCACCCAGCAGTGAGAGGTGCTGGGTGTCCACAAGCTTTCCCTTCGCCATGCAGTCTGGTGTCCCACACACTTCGGTGCGCACAAGAGAAAGGTCATCCCCATCATCCTGACTGGCAGCCAAAGGCTCCCAGGATCTAAGTACTTTTCCACAGAGCTGATAAGGCGGCAAATATTTTCAATCCCTGGAGTCTGAATTTGAGACAAAAGAATCGCAAGTTTGATCTCACCCTGGGCAATGAGTGGGATAGCCAGACCCTACCTCAAAATTAAAAAAAGAAAAAAAGATACAGAGCTACAGTATATGTCAGGGCCCAGCTTCAGTCTCCTGTGCTTAAAAGCAGTTATTTCCACTGCGTCTGTAAAAGACAATGTAAGTGGTAAATGGATCGTGCACCCTTGATTCAGCCAAGTGCCCCGATGTGGCAGCACGTCCTGAATCAGCAGGGAGCACTCGCAGTGTAACCACAGCTGTCCTCACTGAGGGAGGTGGAGGTGGACAGAGCTCAGAAGGAGAAGGTCATGTGACTGAGCAAAGATGCCCAGCTGCTCTATCTCAAAGTGAAGGGAGAACCATGAACAAAGGAAGGAAAGAAAAGCTGTTCCTGAAGCTGGGGTGGAAGCAAATGCCTGGCACGTGAAGTGTGACAAGTGTTTTTCAGTCCAGAGAAAGGGAGTTTGGGTTTTGTGTGGTTCTAACTGTAAGAGCATCAGTGTGTATTATTTTAACCCTTCACTTTAGGTTATAAGATTTTTGCAGCTATATTGATTCATCCAGATTTCATAATCCATAAATGATTATTACTCTAGCAAGACAGGAAATATGAATACAGCTTTGAATTTCTCTGAGCTGCAGAGTCTATGGCTGGATGCCTAGTTGTGTGACAGAGATTTATAGATTTCTTCCTATGCATGTTTGACATGAGTGACTATTGAATGCCCTTTTACTGAGGCCACAGAAGAAAGTTGGAAAATTATTGGAGCCTGGTGGGAAATGGATTCTTCTTATAGAGTTCAAGAAACTTCAGCGAATTGTAGGTATGATATTATATATATATATATATATTTGACATTTTTGGGGTATTGGGAATCAAACATGGGTCCTTGCCCTTGGGAGGCAATCGCCAGAACCACTGTGCTAAATTCCCAGCCCAGTAGCTATGATATAAATTGTACATATTGCAAATAATAAACTTGGATGCTTAGCTGAAGATATTTCAACTCAGTCTTTAACTTGTGTCATAATTTTTTTGAGTGACTGATCTCCTTGCAATTTAACAACTATGATGTGTCCAATAAAGGTTGATGATTTTCAGTTTTTACAAGTTTTCATAATTTTGGGAATGCTGATAATGATTTTTTCACTTCTTATGAGCTTGGAGCAAGAACCACAAGTAACTTCAGAGATTAACTTGAATGTATTAATGGATTCCAGGACCTGATCCAACCAAGTTTAAAACAAATCTTGCTATCCATCCCCAAACCAGGAAAAACAAAGAAGAAGGACACCACAGAATGCACATAAGATGTTAGGAAAGACTTCAAGGATATTCCCGGAAGCAGACATTCAGAAGGGCAACCGTGAGCAGCCGGGCAGATCCCAGGTGACTGTGTGTTCTGGGAGGTGTCCCCACCCTAGCTGGATGCTGCGGGTTCACCTGTGACAGCGCACCAGGGATGAACACCATCTTATTCCTTAATTACTGGACAGGTCAGTGATTATGTGGCCCAAGGTGAGGAGTAGAGACAGGAGAATAGATAAAGGATGACTTGGAGGTTGAAATGCACTGGATGTGAGGAACATGGCCACTTCTTAGAGGCAGTGATTTCACTGTGAGAACATCACCTTCATTCTCTATTCAGGAACCATGCATATGTGGAGTTAGAAGTGTGATTCTCCTGCCTCAGCCTCCTTAGTGCTGGCATTAGAAGCTGTGTATCACATGTAGCAAAATTCATTTTTAAATCATGATGAGTTGACTTTTCAAAGATACCTCAGTTCTGTGGGTTTACAATTTAGTTACTGATGATGAATGATGTGCTTGGCTTTCCAAAAATTTAAATCAGACAGTTGAGGAAATAAATTAATTTTTTTAAAAAAGCATGTATATGAATAAAAGTAAACAAAACCATATCCTTTACTTTCTTTTAAGTGTATAGTTAATAAGTCAACTGAAGTAGATGTGTGTACTCCAGGGTCTCTGCAGGTCATATGATACTGAGACAGAGAGGAAACCCCAGAGTCCAGGAAGTCCTCACTCCCCACTTTTCATGTGCAATTGCTCCTGGGATCATTGTCGGTGTTCAGTGGATCCTCAGCGCCCCCTACTGGTCATGAGCTCCCCCACTTGGAGGTTTGTCTGGACTCACCCTGCTAGCTCTATGTCTCTGAGAGTAACACAGGGTTGTGTCCTCGGAGGTCACCAAGTGCAGCTGCAGGAAGAACTGGTTATTGGAACTGTCCCTGGAGATGCTGACTTGGCTTTCCAGGGAGGGATATTAATCTGTGTGTCCTCTATTACTACGGTGCCCCATCCCCTCCACTCCCTTCCCTGAGGACTGACTGATCCAGCTCCAACAGTAAAGGCTGGCAATGGAGTAACTCAGACCATGCAGGTGAGGAACAGGGCTTTCAAAAGCTTCACCAGGCCAGGCCCTGACTCCAGCAACTGCTCCTGGGACAGGATGCTGGGAAAAGAACACACAGAGTCCTGGGTCAGATGCAGATTCCCCATATCTTCCTGTCTGATTCCTGAAACACTCACTCTGGGAACCACCACTAAAGAGATAAGGAACCTGCTCTATGTTCTTGAAGATTAGTTTTACAAATCCCATAGAATATCTTTGAGCTGGACACATTTCCTGCATACACACAAACATTGGCTGTGATTTAATATGGAAGTCCAGTTGAGTATTTTCAGGTAAGATTTATATTTATCTATGAAAACACAACAGGGGGAGGGGGCGGTCCCTTTGCTGCTATTGATGGACCTGCTGCTCAGTGAAGGATTCTGGCTGTGCCCTCATTAAGCTCACTGCTCTCCCTGTGGTGCCCCACACCAGGCCCAGTGTCCTTTTATTCCGGGAAAAAGCATGCAGCAGGCAACCTTTCATGGAGCTGGATATATTGACAGATAAATAGTAGAGACACATTAGCTTCCAGGGATTAGCTGTATAGTAAATGTTTAGTACTGGGCATTTGTTTATGTACATAAAGATGCATTTACACAACAGGGTAGACACTACAGACAAATACAGATATTTACATTTTGGTGTAAAGAAAAAGATTCTAACTTAAATCCACTTCTATTTGCCTGAGCTGATTTATAGTCCAAAATACTGTGAGAGCAGTTAAATGTTCCAATTCCATTCAGTGCAAAGTAAACTGACCCCGACACAAGGTTTGTCATCGGTTAGAAGGGCCTAAATTAATCCTGTGACTTGGGCTGACAGTTGTCTGGGTGAAGTGTATTCCCCAACATGCATTGCAAGGTTCTCCATGGAGGAAAAGCATGTTCACTGTAACAAGCATGTGGTTTGGTTTTAGCTGGTGTGGATACTTTTACTCATAGGATGTCAATTTCTAGACTTGTTCAAATAGGAATCAGGAACATCGCCCTGCTTTTCCATAGAAACCTGAGTTTTGCATGAACACCCTAGGCCTGTAGCCTCCCACACTGCTGGACAGCACTAAGGAACATCACC